GAGTAATTAAAACATTTGAAGATAGCAGAAATTCAGAAAGTTTTTCAAATCTTTGGGAAGAAATTGAAAACTTTTCAATAGAAAACTGTATAGATTTGCAAATTCCTACTAGACGTATGTTATTGTTCACCCCGTATCACTTATTTAACTAAAGTTTAAAATTTATGCAATTATAAATAATATTATTTAATTTTTTCAGTGTCCAAGAGAAAGAGAAGAGAGGTAACACAACTAAATGATTATGTGGTGAGCACCACAACAAGTGCTATTGATCAGAACTTTCAACAAAATAGTGAAATTACTTCAATTGATTTTTGGAAAGTTCATGCATTTTTCCCTATACTTGATAATTTAATAGTCAATATGAAATCCAGATTTTCAACACAAAGCTTAGAATTAGCCCAGTCAGTTGAAAGCTTTTTAGAACTTGATTATGAAAAAAGTTCCTGTTTTATTAATAGTTATAAGGTAATTAAATAGCAGCCAACTAATATTAAAATAATTTGACACATAATCGGTGATGGATGGAGTATTTTTTATAATTTTACATTTAAATAATACTTTGACCTAAACATAGTTCTTTTGATTTTTGTTCTAGTCTTTATTTAATATAGATGAAGATGCATTAAAGTGTGAACTAAAAGTAGCAAAAAAGTGTTTGGTAAATGCTCAAAATTCAGACAAATCCATAAGCTGTATGAATGTTGAAGAAAAAACACAATCTCAACTGTTAAAATCAGTTGTACAACAAGAAGTTTATCCAAATGTTTATTCATTGTTAAAGACTGCATTTGCTATACCCATAAGCTCAGCTACGTGTGAGCGATCTTTTTCTTGTATGAGGAGAATTAAGTCATACATTAGGTCAACTATGACCCAAAACAGATTTAGTGATCTGGCTATACTTAATATAGAAAGAGAACTATCTAATGTAATAAACGATGATGATATTTTAAAACTGTTTTCATCAAAATATAGGCGTATACAGTTATAAATTATAATGTAAATTTGTTTTTATTGACTAGGTTATACTTTGATTCTATGGTTTATTTTAAATTTTGATTTTAGAGGACTTGTGATTACTAAATGCTAGGGATGCTTGGAGGGGGGGGGGTGTGGGGGGCAAAGCCCCCCACAAATTATCTTGGACTTGGGTTTTCTAGGACTCTAGCCCCTGTAGCTATTAAATCCTAGTTACGCCCATGCAGGCAGAGTTCGAGGTCTATGGTTCTAACATTTGTTGTTTATTTTTCATTCTAGTAAAATATATGATTATCAATAGATTGTCAATATGCCTTAGCATTGCGGTTTATAATTGTTGTTCTGAATAACGGTTAACTCTACTAAAAATGTATCAATGATGGTATTTTGTGAGAAAACGAAAATATAATTAAATTTTAAATTTTTGAATAAACCTATTAGATTCTGAGCGGAGCGATGAATGTATTGGTTTTACAATGATGTGTGTTTTTTTTTATATTTTTATATTTTTATATTTTTTTTTGTGTCTGTCATCACGTTTTGGGACAGTAAAAGTGCTTCGATTTTCTTCAATAGTACCTTTTCTGATAGGAAAGTGAATCTAGTTGGTACTATGGGGGGTCAAAAGTAAACATTTTCCAGTAGTTTTCACAAGCGCCGGGAAAAACAACATAAAAATTAAGGAAAAACGGGAATTTTTACGCAAAATCGATTTTCCAAAAAATCGAATTTGGTTTTTGGTGTAACTTTAAAACAAATGACCGAAGATACATGAAATTTTCACTGGTTGTTTATATTTGCATTTTCTATACACGATAACATTTTCAAAATATTTTGATTTATTTTGAACTGTTTAGGGACATTTTCATTTTTCATTTTTTTTAGTTTTTTTTCTAGAAATATCAATAAAATTTTATTTGTTGGTTAAAAAAACTTGAAAATTTAATAGAAGACTCCTAGTATATTGTTTCAAAGGCAGATGAAAAATATTAAAAATCGTTAGTCACAGTTTTTTTTTATAAGCATTTAAAGTTCAAAAATTGACAAAATATGGAAAAATCACGAAAATTAGCAAATTATTTTGAGTTAAGAATTCGCAAAAATTTTTCTTTTTAAATCTAAGATTTGAAAATGTAATACAAGATTACTCATAAGTTTGTCTACCTTTATCAATAAAAAAATCTCTACCGGACAGTCAAATTGAATTTTTATGAGCGTTTGAAATTCAAATTTTTACAACATTGGATGTTCACTCGATTTCTCATGTAGCGATTTCCTTATTTTGTTGTAATTCATAAACGAATAACTATAGATATATGACAATTTCACTGAATGTTTATATTAGCATTTACTATACACCATACAATTTTGAAAATATTTTGACTCTTTTTGAGCTGTTTACGGACATTTTCAGTTTTAAATTTTTTTATAATTGTCAATAAAATTTTATTTGGTGGGCCAAAAAGTCTGAAAATTGAATACAAGCTTTCTTATATATTGTTACAATATCAGTTGAAAAATTTTAAAAATACATAGGCACGATTTTTTTTTATAAGCATTTTCCAAAATCAACATCTTCTTGACTAATAATGAAAATATTTCCATCAATTGGAATTTTATTTAGATTATATTTAACATTCTCGGAATTTTCATAGTATTCAAAAGCACAAAATTTCACATAACATTTATTTTTTTTTTTATATCATTTTTCATTAATTTCAAAAAATTAAAATTGTTTAGTCTATATTGATTAATTGGTATACCCTTGTATTTTGTATTAAGTCTACAAGGTAAAATTGTTTGATCTATATCATTTTGTTGATGATTATAAGACTTCAAATGAGCAGACCAACTTTTGTAACCAATTGTTAAATTACATTTATCACAAGTTTTAGCAGGATATATTTTTTTATTCAATAGGTACATCCATTTTATTATAAGTACCAATCTCTTTAACTAAAGGTTCAATTTTATTTAATCCTTCCATTCTTTATTACATAAAATATTATTATTTTTTTTTACATTCATTTTTCAATAAAAATAATTTTTATTTAAAATTCTATTTAAATAATATTAAAGATTTTAGGATATAGTGAAAATACAGAAAGTTTAAAAAAAACAAATCAAGATAAAGAAATATTTATTTTAGAAGGAGGTTTATATGGATATCACTTCCTTTAACTAAGGTCCTATTATAGATATCACTTCCTAACTTATCACATATTATTAAAATTTTGTTTTTTGTAACTCTTGGTTATAAAAACTCCCTATAATCTCTTCATTGTTTAAATCTATAATTTTATAGGTAATAGGATTAGTGTTTAAAATTGTATTAACTATAAATATTTCTTTTGTCCAATTATTAATATATTTATTACCATATGTTTTTTTAGAAGCTGTTATTCTTACTCTATCACCTACACTAAATTTAATTCTTTATAAGTCCCTCTCATAGTATCATAGTGTAAAATCATTTTTAAAGATTTTTGGATTTTAAAGACGCGTATCCCATTCAGGCACATGTTAAATATTGAACATTTTTTTAATAGAACAATTCTATTAAAAATTAAATTAATATGTCTAACTACAAATACTATATTGCATTTAAAATTAAATTATTAATATTATAAGTTTTGTAAAAAATATTTTTGGGAAATATTGCTTTTTAATTATTAATAAAATACTTTTTGTGAAAAAATATTGCATTTCGATTTTTATTTTTAATAGAACTTATCTATTAAGAAATATTTTGATTATTATGGCATTTCGATTTTAATTATTAATAATTAAGTTTTGCGGAAAATATTTTTATTATTTTTGCATTTCATTAATTTTTGTGAAAAAAGAATCGTGAACAGTTGGGTAAAAAACCTTGCAGAATACTTAAATGTTCCGTCCATGTATGATGTGTCAACTTCTTTTAGGAATAAAATATTCGTATGAAAAGAAAAAACAACAATATTTTTTTGTTGATCATTAATTAACAAAAAAAATCGAAAAATTCGAGTGGGCGCTAAACTAGAATTGTTCCCCTAAATGTGCCATAATAATATGGCCCTTCGCTCGTAAAATTGCAGGTTTCTTCTGAAATCCGGGGACCAAATTATTATTCAATATTAATGTACATACATTTAATACTAGCAGTGTTCCTATATATTATTGGCCCCGCGTGTGTATTACGTTATACTCTAGCAGTCCGGAAAAATCCGACACATTTTATTTTTCTGTGATTTATCAGTGTTCTATTTTATTATAAATATACGGCTGTTATAGTGTAACACTTACCGTTATGCCCCATGCCGGCTTGTAAACATTTTTTCAGCCGGCACTCTTTACAATCAATCAAGTTTTCACAGTTTTGTGAAAATTTGCAAGGTTCAAAGGCGTTTGGCCGTTTAGGGACCCTAAAAAAAAAGTTTTTGCAGGCGTCGCACGTTTTAGCGCCGTAGTGATTCCCAACGGCCCCAACTCGCCCGCAAACCTGGCATCCCTGCAGCTCCTGTTTGACAGCACATGGAAGAAAAAACAAAGGTTAAACAAAAACGAAAACATCATTATACATACCAATATAATACGATATAATATTATGTATATATTATACATAGTACCTACATATATTAATATATTAGAATATAATTTGTAGGTACCTATATTATAAATTATAATATTATGTTTTACTTTCGTCTCGGGTGAGTGGTGGTTATGGGGCCAGGGTGTGGGAGAATAGAAAATAAACAGAACCCGAAAACCTTTTCGGGAACGACCGACACAGCGGTCGTGGAGTGGACGACGACAAACCCAGTGACCTTATGATCGAGAACAAAATTTTTTAGTTTTTTTTTCTATAAAAACCAATAAAATTTTATTTGTAATCCAAAAAGCATGGCTGGGCATTAACGAGTTAATAGGTTAAAGTTAAGTTACTTTTAACTAAGTTAATTAAAGAGTTACTTTTTTTCTTATATTATGTTATTGTATTTTTCTGTGATAAATATTATATTTAAAGAGCATAATATATCATGTTTGTTTCAGATGTAATGAATACAATTTTAAGAGTTGTGTTAAAAATAAAATATGATGTAGAGACCATTGCACAAAATCAACTTCAGATGGACAGAACATTGACTGAAACTGTGCAAGCAAAAGATAATGAAAATACTTCTGAAGAATTGTTTGAATATGATTCATTAATACCGATTGGAAATGAAGATCAATTAGATGAATTTGACACAAAGTTGTTACACAAACATTTTAGAAGGAACGTTGTAAGTAATTTTGCAGAATATATATCATTATAATATAAAAAACGCGTGTGTCTCAAGCGACCCTCGTAAGATGTGAAAACATATATTATATGAGCTTAGAATTTGCAGGAAAAATTTGGAAATAAATCACAAGTCTGAAAATATCACCTCCATAGAAAATTCGCTCGGTATGAATTCCAATTTCGACCTACCCCCAATGTTGACGCCCAGTCTGACGTCATAATTAGTCTGTTAGTGGCAAAAGAATTTTCGGTGTTTTTCGAAAAATTTTGAAAAAAAAAATTACAAGTCCGAAAATATTAACTCCATAGAAAATTTGCTCGGTACCTACGAAAAAGGTAACGCTCGAAAATTTACACTGTCATGCAAAACGATTTTCACATCAATAAATATACGTAGGTACTTTTGATTAAAAAAGTTTAAGCAAATTCAACCACGGTAGGTATTGTTTGTTGGAACTGAACTACTGAACAGACAAAACGCTGGATCATGGCGTTTGAAATGTTTACTTTATTGCTTAGCAAACAAACATTTCGAATTTCTCTGTTATCAAAGTTTCAACGTTTACCGACGTTATAGAATTTCCTAGCATTAACCGATAATTTTGATAACGGTTTCAAGCCCTGGACCATGTTTATTGTTTATAGTGTTTATCAACGAAAAACGCCCTCGAGAACTACCAACGCGAGACAACCATATATAATAAATACATAGATAGGACGCCTCAAATTCATTACGTATTAGTTTTGCGGTCCAACATAGATAAGAAATGGAGGCGATTTGTTTAAATTTTTTGTTGACAGTCGATACTCCATATAGATATACTTTATTTGGGCCTCAATTATTCCCCTGGAAGACCGCTGATAAGGCCATTATGTCCTATCCATATCTTTATTATCTATTTCGACAACGGACGATGTAGGAGTACGACGCGTTCGTAGTTGCGCGCCTGCGCATGTGATCAAATAGTAATATTGTATGTATACAATACATTTTTAGTTTAACTAATTTGACGCTCTCGCCCGCACTATGTTCGATGTCCGTGATCGTAATGAAGCCACGCCCCCTGAGCACAGGCGGCCTATCGTTGCGTCGCGTCTCACCGAGTCTCCGCCAATCAGCACGTCGGAAGCGCTAGCGTTACGCGAAAAGGGTAACGCTCGAATAACGCTCGAAAAAATTCACTGCCCAAACGGAAAAGTCTGAACGCCACATAAGATGTTTTCACATCAAAAATCTTCACCTTTCTTTGTTTTTAAAACTATTGTTTCTAAAAATGATGTTTTGGAATGAACCTCTGTATGCAGTCTTATGAAAATAAAAAATGTAAATAGTACAGTATACAGTAGACAGTTGTTTAGTAGGTACTAGCAGGGCTGGGCAAGATACCTCAAAAAAAGTATCTAAATACAAGATACAAGATACTGTAATATTTTTAAAGATACTAGATACAAGAGACATGTATCTGAGATACCTGTAAGATACAAGATACTGCTATTCTGCTGTTTTATAATTTCTTGACAAACACAATATTCTGAATGTACTCATCATTGCACACTAAGCTCACTTCTTTTGTTTATGCAGTTAATATAATTTACAATAATAATGGGTTTAAAAAAAGAACTCTGTTTAATTCGATGTCAGGTGATCACAGTGGAATACAAAAAAAAAATGAAAGACAAAAACCCTTTTTCTATTTATACACATTGCATGGCCCACATAACTAATGTAGTGGTAACAATATGTGTAAATCAAGGTATATATTTCAGTATCCAATGTAGTAATGTCTGTACCTATGTAATCTGTTGTATACCTTGTATTTGTTAATAACATCTAATCTTGTTACTAACTTTGCTTAGACTATTACTATTATTATTATCATTATTATCAATTATATTATCTTGTTCAGACCATGTGAGTCAAATAATATCCAACATCATGTTCATATAAAGGTTAATAAGTCTGTTATGTTAATTAATAAAATATGAAATTAAATAAAGTTGTAGTGTTGATTTAAATAAAAGTAAAATATAAAACATGGCGCAGTCTTTGGAGTTATATATTAAATAACCAACGTCCTACGTGATAATTGTTTAATTGCTTGGATCCAAATCGAAAAAAAAAAAAAAAAAAAATTTTGAAAATGGAATTCAACAGACCGGCGAGCCTTAAATTGACCGGTAATATAAATGACAACTTTAAGACATTTAAGCAAGAAATAGAAGTTTATTTCATGGCTACTGAAACATATAAAAAACCAAAAGAAGTTCAGGTGGCACGACTACTGAACCTTTTAGGACCAGATGGTTTGAAATTATTTAACACATTTAAAATTGAAGATAAATCTATTGAAACAATTTTCAAATGTTTGGAAGAATATTGTGTACCCAAAAAGAATGTGGTAATGGAGCATTATAGAAAGCAAAATGAAAATGAATCATTTGAAAAATTCTATGCTGACTTACGCGAACTTATCAAGTCATGTGAATTTGGAGAAGCTGAAGAAACTCTATTGTGCTCACAAATAGTACTTGGTATACATGATAAGGATCTACAGACAAAATTACTCAGAGAAGATTTGCCATTGCCCAAAATCATCAAGTATTGTCAAGCGGTTGAGCAGGCCGAGATGCATCGACGTGTGGTTCAAAAAGAAAGTCCAGCTCACATGTCAAATAATATCCAACATCATGTTCATATAAAAGTTAATAAGTCTGTTATGTTAATTAATAAAATATGAAATTAAATAAAGTTGTAGTGTTGATTTAAATAAAAAGTAAAATATAAAACATAATCTAATTTAAATTTTAAGCACTAAAAATTGTTTTTTATTCTTCAGGATGCTAGAAATCTTTTCAGTCGGTTAGAAGCGTTGTATATCCATTTTTCAATCTCATAAATGATGTTGGTTGATATAAAAAAGAAACTTGAAACTAAAAAAACAAAACTATGTTGATTAGTGATACAAGGTGGTCTTGCTGTTATAAAAACTACATAATGGTGATGGAACATTATTCTTCTATAATAAATGTTTTAAAAATTTTCAATTTTCATTTAATATAAAATTACACATTGATAGGTATATTTTAAAAGTTAATTTTTTTAGGAATCCTGTTCACAATGCATTTGTTTGTTTTACATAAGATTTTACTTATAATTAATATACTAAGTTAATAACAAGCTCCAGGAAAAGACTTCAATGTTGTGTAAAGCACCACAAGTAATATATTCTGTTATTGCCACCCTAGAAGCTAACCGCTGTGAAGAACATTTTTTAACAATTTGGATTCAAATAACTGAATTTTGAACAAAAAACCACATACTGTTGGAGATTCCCATGAATGGTAGATTATTAATAAATAATAAACTAAATAATATAATATTAGGAGCAAATAGTTTTTAGTCGTTAAAAATATTAGTTAAAATTAGAGGCTTTTTATTTTATTAGGATCTAAGAGAAAAAGAACACAGCCAAATAAACTAAGTAATTACATACAATTGTCTCAAAACTTGGGGTGAGGGGCTGGCGTATTTTATGAGCAGACCAAACACGTTGAACATTGTACATAGGGTAAATACCAATTTAGAGGGTAAAAAACCATCTACCGATAATATAATGTTGACACCTGCGGAAATGGATGAAATTGTATCATCCAACACTTTTCCAAACTTGTATAAATTGTTGGACATATGTTTTCAATTCCTATTAGAGTGCTACTTGTGAAAGGGCATTCTCTGCTATGGGGCTGGTAAAAAATTGGCTACGTTCAACAATGTTTCAAGACCATTTTTCATATTTAGCTTTATTAAGCATTGAAAGAGACTTAACTAATACCATAGACACGAAGACTCCCGGGTTTGATGCCTTGCGGCTACAACCGTGGACCTCACATTAGCGCTGTGCGCTAATCGAGGGCCACGGAGGTTCACGGTCGACGTACGGTGGAGTTACCCACACCACTGTTATGGCACGCGTGTCGTCTTGTTTGCTTCCTCTGATTGTCACTACGTAATCACTTGTGTATTGCGCCAGCTCTATGATTCGCAGTTCATTGTTGAGTATTATGACGGCTGCCCCTGTGTGATCACCTTTATGTACTTGTCTGTTATTTTCGAACGCATATACCTTATGCTGTTGGATCAGCGGCTCTTGTAATAGAACTATGTCGATTGTGTTACTAGCACAGTAATCTTTCAGTTGTAGGGAGGCAATCCTACTCCTACAAATATTGAGCTGAAGTATTTTTAATGTGTCAGTCATTGACCTCCGAAGTCCGTACGCCTTAGGAGGCTTCGAGTTGCCTGTCCCCTTGCTTTGCATGACGCACTAGACGCCTTGTGCGGTCCCTTGCAGTTCGCACACTTCACCCGTTCACCCTCGTCGCAGGCCCGGGAGTCATGTGCGCCCGCGCAGTTCCTACACGTAGGGGTCTTTTGTTCGCATCTGGCTGCCGTATGCCCAAACTGCTGGAAGTTATAGCACTGCGGTGTCAAGCTATGTACTTTTCATCTGCATCTCATCATGCCTATATACAATGACTTGTTCTCAATTTTGGGAATGACGTTGGCTGGTGTCTCAAGCACCCAGTGGACCACGTCCCCGCCTCGTGGGCCTAGTTTATGAAGTGGTGCCATACTTTTAACTTTATCATCGGTTAAACCTACCTCGGTGTTTTGTACCAGAAGGCATTCGGCTAGCTCGTCCTTCTCAATGTTGAAGTCCACGTCATATATAATGACCCGTGGCTTTCTGGGTCCTATTTCTATTACATCTTGCAGACCTCTCATCACATCCAACGTATTATCATCGTCCGGTATTATTATCAAGGACTTGCCACTGACGATGGTCTTCGTCCTCGGGTTTTTAATTTTGGACTTGACGGTCTCCCAGACGCCGGCCTTTGCGCTGGCAACCGTCATGTTCTGCGGTATCTCTACCATAAAGCGCGATGTCGCTTTAACTTTCCTACTCTTGTCCAGCTGCACTTTTTCAGTGGACTTTTTGGTCTTGGCCGAGGTCGCATTAGCAGTCCTGACCGTGCCCGCCGCCGCCTTAGTGGCGTAGGTCGGTTTGCTCACCGGCGCGCTTGGCTCGGCGCTGCCCTTGCGCTCTTCAGATTGTCCAACTCATTCGTTAGGCTGTTGACTTCAGCGTTCTTGGCATCAAATTTGTTTATAAATACTGTGAGACATTCTCTCTGGGCGTCTTCCTTGCCCTTAACCTCACCTGCGAGCTTACTGTTCTCATGCGTAATCGCATGTGCAATAGTCCTTAGCCGGCTGAGCTTGCCAAGCCTCTTTTCGGCACTCTGTACGCCTAACTTCCTTTTATCCTTTTCTTGAAAGATAGTCTGCTCCAGCCAGCCGATGAGATCATCGAGTTCCCCTGGCTGCTTGGCAGCAGTCTTTAGCTGCTTTATGGCCTGTCCACTTGGCGAGCCCAGTGAAGGTGGGCCGCGCTTTTGGCTGCCGCTTGCAGTGCCCATGTCGCCACTCACTACCGTTGCATTTGTCATTTCGGTATCATCGTCATCACCATCGCCTCCCCTCAGTCTAAGGGGGACTGCGTAGCAGTGTCCGTTATCCATGTCCGTATCATTATTTACCATGTGTTTCCGGTCCGTTTCCCAGCTTACATTAACCGAGCTATTGATAACGACCTGTGTGGCGAGCTCACCCACACCTGTCGGGTCTAAGGTTTCCAAGGCCTTTGTACCAGTACCATCTTTGTTTTTGTGTTGTGTATTCATTGTTAGTTTGTTGGGGGGGGTGGCCCTACACCCTCTGGCCACCGGCGGGCTAGATCGGCGGTTGCATGTCCATGCCACGGGTTAGAAGTCCGGAGTCGACCTACTCCGGACAGTTTGAAAGCCTCTTAGCGCCGGACGTGTTGTCCAGTCGGGCGGGGTCACCACGACAAGGTGGACTTTCGTCGACCCCGTAATACCATAGACAGTGTAATACTGTCTTTGAACATTGTATATCTAATAATAAAAATAGACGGATAGATCTTAATAATATGTAAATTGTAAATTAAAAACTAGAATCCATGAGATTATTTCATATTTTATGTAAAACATTTTATACGGGTAGTGTTGGGATGAAACCCTCCACTCGACACAGACACTTGCGAGTATTCGTCGATCAAGTGGTTCATATTTTATACTAGTCACGGGCTTCGTTACCTACTGCAGGCTGATAATTGTTATTTGTCTTAAGCCAACAGGCTACCTTTATAATATTATGTATCAGAAAGTTTCATATTGTACTCAGTACCTGATATTCATTGCAACTTGTTTATTACATTATTATTATAATTTTTCTGTATTGTTTATTTATTTATTATGCTTGTTGCTTATTCACCATTTATGTATGCCACTTTGGTAATATTAGTATGATATTGGGATGGGTGGGGACTATCCATTGGTCATTTCATTTTATAAATTATTAAAAATCGTCTAAATTATATTGAATTTTTCCGCTGTAGTTTTTATAATACAATATTATTATTTATTGTCTACTCTAATAACAGATGTATAATGACAAGATTAACCAACCAAGAATAGAAATAGAAAATATGTACATTTTGTTAAGCCATTACCTTGGTGATTATTTTACTGTTTTATTTAGCTGTTCAATATAGTTAAAAAAAATAAAAATATGCTGCAGTTGCTGTCTGTAAAAATAATAAATTTAAATAATTATATCAGTAAAAGAAGGCAACGATGATGATGTATTAGTGTACAATTTCTTACGATTCCCAAAAGACGGGAGAAGGAATATTTGGGTTCTTAAATCTGTACCTGAGAGGCTAAAGGGTCCAAGTCCACTTTTATCAAAATTGAGGTTATGGTTTTTTCTTATGTGAAATTTTGACGCGCGTCATTTTACCTATCTTCATTTTAGTCCAAAAACGAATATTTACCGAGATATTGGGAAATAACAAAAAGAACTAAGTCCAAATATTTATTTTGATTTATGAATTATGATCCAAGTCCACTGTGTGATTGAGCAAAATGATCCAAGTCCAAAACATTTCATTTAAATCGTAAAATAAACAATTATAGGTAAGTTATAATTAAAAGAAAAAATATTCATCTTATTGAGAATATTACAGCTTATTATTTAAAACAAACCTTGTTGGTATAATCATTAAACTGAATTTACACCAGCCATTTAAGTAAAATAAAAATAGTTGAAAAACGGTTTTTTGGCTCTCCTGAAAAGTTACAATAATGGACTTAGACCCTTTAGCCTCTCAGGTACAGAAATGTAAAAGAGCAGATCAATGGAATCCTGATACAGGATGTTTGTATGTTTAAACATTTTACAAAGGCTGATTTCGAATTTTATTACCTACTTATCAAAATCAATCGAAGAAAATTAGACAGAAAAATAAACTTATCGCATAACTGCGATCGTAGCATTATTGGTCGTGTAGTTCCGTCCATTACCGCTAATTTGATACAAATACACAAAAAAAAAAAATAATAAATATAATTTCTGTTAAACTCGTGTCAATAAGGAAAATCGCACACGCGATCCAAAATGTACTGTACCTGTAATATGTATACCGTAGAACAAGAGAATGTATTAAAGTGTGGAGTAGACGAGAAAACAGAAACTATAGAACTAGTAGGAACAGGGTTGTTAACGATCGAAGAACAATTTAAAGGGCATGCAAGCCAAAATATATTGCAACCGGTTACATCAATTCAAAATTCAAAATTAATAGATATAATACCGGAAACAAAAATAATTACGGAGGAACAAAATTTAGAGCAGGATGCTACGTTTATTCGACCATAATTTAAACATATTGGAAAAATTGAAAAACTACACGATTTGAATTCTATATCTAGCTCTTATGATGACATAAATAGAGATATTGATTATCAAATTACAAAATAAACTGTACACGAGGTACATAAAAATTATAATTATATATTTTATAGCATTGTAATTTTATTTGTAATTTTAATTATTTGTAGCATGATAAAAAAATATTGTATGGTTACAACACCACCTCTGTTACCATTACGCGATTACAATCCTGTATATTTTGACACCATCAGACTAACTGATGTGTGAAATAGATTTAAAAAAAAAAAAAATTGTATAAAATTATAATTATAATAGAATTTAGTCTTTAGTAATTAAGTTCTTATTATGTAAAATATAATTTCATTCTAGGGATGGAGGAATGTAATAATCCTCATTATTAGTATGTAAAATAATAGTTATAATTATGTATTTGAATTCACTGACATTCATTGACTTTGCTAAATAACCATATTATCTGAAAGCGTGTGCACAGATCAAAGGTGAAGACTAGAAATAGCGTACACCTTTAGATTGTACGGACGTCATCATAACAACGTGACTCCACTTAGCATAAATAGGAAAGTCATAGACAAAGTAGGTGGATCGGAGTTGAATACTAGAGACGACAAGAGTATGTACTTTAAGTTCAGAACGGACGTTTGTTATTATTAATCTGTATTATACTTCCAATTTAATTTCGACTTACAAAAAGCGGACACGTTACAACAGTACTCAATGAGCATATTTGTCCTGGTCCGTGTTTTTATTAACAACTTTTGATCCCGGGTTGGTTTAAAAAAAAAAAATAAAAATCCGAGGTGGGCTGGTCCGGGCTTATAAAAAGTTTGTAAGCATGGAACAAAATTGGTCTCGTTGAAAAATATTTTTTTTTAGAATTGGTCTGATCCGGTTCAACAAATTGTCTTAAATATTTGGTCCGGGCCGATCCAATTCTTACAGGACCGGGCTGTACTCTAAATGGAGACATTAGTTCCCCCCTTTAATTGTTTCCCACTTTAACCCCTGTCTATGGAACTCTCTCCTCTAGTACAGCCATCGGCTTTTGAGGAGATCCATCAACTTTAAATTTAAGCATATGCTAATTATTACATTGTATTATCTTTCTTGATCGAAAATAAACTCATTATTATTATTAAAAAAAAACGTTCGGCTTGTCTATTGATCCTGTCTGCAATGTTATCAAATGTTTTTATATGTAGTGTTTAACCATGGTTACAATTATGAAACTCTTTGACTTTATTTAAAATGTTGTGATCTTTCCAAGTTCATTATCGAAACTAGTGTAGGTGTAATATATTTTTTTATATTTACAGTTATCTATAAAAATATCAAAATTAGTTATTGACACCATTAATTAAGTTATTGGCAGTCTCATCATTAGTTATTAGCACCCACTAAAATTATATGACAAATTAAGTTTTAGTTCTCTAGATTGTTAGCAACTTAATTAATAACCTTTTTATCTGTTTAGAAATACACATGAATATATCTTCAGTTGATAAATGATTCATGTTATAATAATACAAACAAAATAGGTGTTGTAATGTTAGCAGGAAATGAGTATTTACCTACCCAACTTCTATCATATATATATTTAGTGATTACAAATTACAATATTGAACTGTCTGCAACTGTATTTTTACTGTTTAAATTAGTGTTTGTATTACCTATACATCAGTAAGACAATTTAAATATTATATTAATTCACATTTATAATTATCAAGTAAGTACCTACCCAACTTGTAAAAAAATTCAAATTAAACACTATTAGTACTCAATATAATTTTTTTAATAAATAAAAACAACGAAAGTACAATTTATGAAACAAAATCAAGCACCAAATAGGTATTTTCTTAGAAGATTTTTGAATATCTAGTATAATCATAAAAAAACAACATGAAAATATGTTAAAAACTAGTTAATAAACAAAAAAAACAAGAAAAACTTTTTCAATAATAATAAAAATAACAAAATAAATGTATGAAACTTATGAGTTAATTGAAATATAAATTTATTAAAGAAATATCAGTACCTATTAAATCAATTAAATTAAATTAATTACCTCCTGAACTAGGTATGTGAATAACAAATTTATATAAATAAAAAAAAAAAAATATGAAAAACTGTTCAAAACTAGTTAATATAACAAAAAAACCAAATTAATTTTTCAATAATAATAAAAAATAACAAAATAAATGTCTAAAACTTAAGAGTTACTTGAAATATAAAGATATGAAAGAAATATCAATACTTACTAAATCAATCAAAATAAAATTCATTGCCTCCTTACCTAGGTAGGAACTCAAAAATGTAAAATTATAAAAAATAACAAAATAAGATAATTTAGATACCATAAACAGATTAAATATATCAATATAAAATAAAAATAATAAAAGTCTCAAATTAATAATTAAGTAGGTACCTATAACTTAGTTAACAATTATCGATTTTTCACAAGTTTGGCAAATAAAAAGTGTTTCATCACTACTGAGATCACATATTGAATCATTGCTTGCACATCTTTGGTGGTATTATGATTACAAAACGTAAAATACACAATACTATATATTATGTAGGCATAATATTTGTCAACATACTCGTATGTTTCAAAACCGTACATTAAAATTGATACCATCGACATTTTTTTCACCACGGTCGTCTACGAGACAGTGTTTTTTGGATCGAAAAAAAAATATAAATAATAAAACGAGAGGGACGGATTTTGGTTGCGATTACCCGAGGACGACGCTCACACATTACACCCACGCCGAGCCGAATACAACATGGTCGATGTTTTTTTTGTTTCGTTTCCATTTGTCAGACCATTATGTTATTATATGAGGTACTTATATAATATACCTACCCTTTTTTTTCGTGCGGGTTCCCAGTGTCTGATGTATATCGAATGTTTTCTTCTACATTAACAGCTACAGTCGTGTATACATTATACGTCATTATATTATATGCGCGTGTATGCCCGGAGAGTTTACAGCCATTTAACGTTTTAAACAGTAATAAACAACCCCTGGAAAACGTCTAAAAAAATAAAAAAAACTTTTTACAACAATACATATTGTACTTGACGAGCAGGCGGTATAATATTATTAAGGTAAAAAATTACCCGAATAGCCACAGAATATGTTTTTTTTTTTCGAAAGAGAGATTTCGAAACAGTGATCTTACACAAAGATGTAGCATATAAGTAATATTATTTTTGTGACTTTACCCGCTCGTACCCGGTGTTAAAATATAATGGGTTTTTATGATTATTAATTTATATTGGTTTTCGCAGTAAATTAGTGATATTAATCAGATTATATGTAAATTGTAATAGGTGACCTACCAAAATATTTATACAAATAAAATAATAAATAGGTACCTACATTTGTCGTCTTATACTTATTTCGTTTTGATTTACAAACCACTTTATCATATTCATATTTGATTGCTTAATGCTTACAATACTTAAGAGAGATTTTTGTCGAAACTTGTTTCCTTATTCTGTTAGGTTGCAGACTGGAGGACCACTACAATACTCTTATTCAAGGTACAACGTTTAGGTACTTACGCGACACTCAGTTTACTTTCATACCACAACTAAATGTTGTTGTCTTAAACAATGGATGGATTGGCTCGAGTTACAGAGTCAGCACAATCATGTTGGTGGTTCACTTTTTCGTGTTTATCTCTCTTTTGTACAATGCGGATATACGTCATTCGTCGGAGCGTCCCCATAATCCAAATAAACAAGACCGCTGTATTTGGTTACTGTAACAGTAGGTGTTTGTCTAAATGTTGATTGTCATCGCGAGTCGCGACATCTCTCTGTTGTATGCGTAGACTGTATACATTATGAAATAAGATCAGAAAGACATGTTTACATTGCATATATTAAAAATGTATTTAAATTTAATTATAAATAACCAGCAGTTCAGTTGGATAAAAGGAACAATTTAGTGATACGTATTGATATTGCATATTAGTACAGATATTTAGGAACGGTATGAATGTATTAATATACCATTATCATCACCATCGATTCTAAATTAAGAACTTTTTTAAATTTTAGATTTCAAGACGTACCCCCTTCTCCTCGGCGTTAACTGTTAATAGTCCGCCACGTACACCTCCATAGGCCAAAAAACTCACTTCCCGCATGTACCACCTATTCGTTATCGTTTTAGTTTAACTGTGACACAGTATTTTGACAAACGAGTGTAGGTACTTATGCATAATATTGTATAACGCACAAGAAAATAAAAGTTCTGTAAATACGACACTAAGTTATTTAATTTTCATTTTTTATTCACAAGTCACATCTGTCGTCTATCAGAACATAAATGTAATAAAATGTAACTAGCTTAAGTAAATAATTAGGTATTTACAACAAACAGCTCTGCATTCCTAAGTATTCGTGAATAATGATGTTCAAAATGTAATTTAATGAAAATATACTTTTTTATTAGTGTGTAGCATTACAAAAAAAAAATTAATACTTTACTACCATGGTACATATTGTAGAAGAAACGAAACGGTTCTTTGTATATTAATTCTGCAGTAATGACTCACGCAACGTCGTTAAACCCGCTTGTATCCCGTGACATCAGAATAATGATTCGAATGAAAGTCTCAAGCCCTGCTACCAAGGGTTGCAGTAATAAACCGTTCTACGAATTAATGTCAACAATATTTTTAGAACGCGTAGACAGACGATCGGGTATTCGAAGTACTTATTTTTAAACGTGCCTATGAGTACATGGTAATTTGCCATTTTACATGTTCTACCCTAAATCGTATTTCATCCTCTTCCCGTGTAAGTAGAGTCATTTATTGAAATGCGTAAGTACCTACAGTATATGTGTAACGATAAATGCTCAGTTAAAACAAAACAATAGGAAATGCAATAAAACATACAAAAAAAAAACATTTTGTTTATTTTAGGGTTGGTAAAATGGTTGACAAAT